GCCGCACCGGGCTACAATCCGCATGGTTCAAAGTTTAGGAAAGAAGTAGCGGAAAATACGGTACCATAGGTGAGATTGAATAATTTCCACGGCACACCTGACGATCACTCACGGCAGTACAGTGGTTGAAAAACACTGAATTAGCTGATAGCAGCAGTAGCTAATCTAACACAGTGATCACTTATTAATAATGATAAAGTAAACATAGAACTATAACAGACTCAATGTTCTTCAGTCTGTGTGGGAAATGTTTGAACGTTTTTCGGTGTTGAATCCTGATACATTAGTGATGTTAGTCAGTTGCTATGGTAACAAAACCTGCGTGTAACGTAGCCAACACAGAGAGTGAGAAAAAAGAACAACTCAGGTTGCTTTGGGTTGTTCTTTAATGGTTTTTCTGCATTATTTTCCCCTTTGCTGTGGCGCTCTGAGCTAATATTCCCAACATCCTGGTTTCATTTAGCTAGCGGTTTTGTTTGTTGCCACGGATGGGAAGGAAAACAATCAGCTTTTAGCAAAGAGGGATGTAAACAATACGATGCCATGTATGTCAATGGGTTCCCCCCATCCTGCAGTCACATGACCCGGTTCTGTGGGTCATGTGACCCGGTTCTCTGCCTCCAGGTAAAGGACCTGGCGGCGGTGTCGCTGAAGGAGCCAATCAGGATCTTTGTGAACAGCAACACGGACGTGGCGCCGTTCCTCCGGCAGGAGTTCGTTCGGATCCGACCGCACCGGGAAGGAGACCGGGAGGCTGTGGTGGCAGGTAGGACCGGGGAGGTCCAGGTTCTGCTGAGGTTCTGTTGTCCTCCGGGCCGGACCATGACTCTCCGGATGTTCTGTTCCCAGCGCTGTTGACCCGGACCTTCCAGGACCACGTGATGGTGTTCACCCAGACCCGGAAGCAGGCCCACCGGCTGCACATCCTGCTGGGCCTGTTGGGCCTGAAGGTCGGGGAGCTGCATGGAGAACTGAGCCAGAACCAGAGGCTGGAGAACCTCAGGTAGGTTCTAACGGGTTCAGATTACAGCTGGGCTTAAAAGCATCTCCAGGTTGGTTCGTTCCAGATATGATTTCTGATTTTAATCAACGGTTTTGTACCACAGAGTATCAAGAAATGAGAACTTTTGTAGTTTAATTTAATTATGAGAATATAGTTATTAGCAGAATAAAACAATTTTACCAGGAGAAAATTTTAAAATAAAAAGCAGTTTTAATAAGAAAAGCTTCGAGTCATTGAGATGTGACATGTTCGTTTTTCAAATAGAGAAATCTCTAGAAAAACCTGCTGAACATAATTTGATGGATTAACCAAAGCATAACTTCACCAGATGCTCGACTTTCCACTTTTTGTTTTTCATGAGTTCTTATAAACTGATTACTTCGTTCTCCTAATATTAATGCTTTATTCTCGCATTGTTTTAACTTTATTTTGAGGAATTTTACAAATCGTATCCCAGCTCCAATTCTCTGTCATTCACCTGAATTCAATGTCCTAATAAACAGAAGCTGTAAAACGCTTGTCAACCAAAAACATCCAGATTTTAAAATCTTCAGAAACTATAAAATGGATTATTGAACAAATGGATTCATGGCCCCAGTTCAGATGTTCTGGTCCGTCTCGGTTCTGCAGGAGGTTCAAAGACGAGCAAATCGACATCTTGGTGGCGACCGACGTCGCGGCCAGAGGTTTGGACATCGACGGCGTGAAAACGGTGAGAGTTCTGCTTCAGCTTGTTTTGTGATCTGACCCGGAACAGAACCGGGTCGGCATCCTGAACTTGCTCCCACCTGCTGCCCAGGTGATCAACTTCACCATGCCGTCCACCACCAAGCACTACGTCCACCGGGTCGGCCGCACGGCCCGCGCCGGCCGCTCCGGCCGCTCCGTGTCTCTGGTCGGAGAGTCGGAGAGGAAGACGCTGAAGGAAGTGGTGAAGTCAGCCAAGAACAGCGTGAAGGCCCGCGTCCTGCCCACAGGTGAGCGCCAGGGGCGGTCCGGTTCTTCAGCCAAGTCAGGTCAGAACCAGACTGAAACCGGGTTTGTTTCCCCTCCAGAGGTCGTCCTGAAGTTCAGAGATCTGATCAGCAAACTGGAGAAAGACGTTGAAGCGGTGATGAAGCTGGAGAGAGAGGAGAGAGAGATGGCTGCATCTGAGGCGAAGGTAAGGCTGGACGGAGCGGGTCAGAACCGGATCAGAACCTGAAATTACGATAAACTGAATAGTATCCATTTGTGTGATTTATCATTTTTCTCTTTCTACTAATTATTACTCTAATTCTATTATATCTGTCATTACTGGAAAATGGTGTCAAAACAGCAATATTATCGTTTATCGCAATAACTTCTGGGACAATTTATCATCCAGCAAAACGAGTTCCTGTGACAGGCCTTCAATCAGCCTCCATGTTTATCTGGAGCCGCTGGCCCCGCCCACTTTAGGCCTCAACAAGCGCACAAACAGTGACACCTACAGGCCAAGTGTGGCACTGCATAGCCATTAATTATTAACATATGAATCTGTATGAAACTTTTGTAAAGTATCTGTTATTTCCATATTTCACCATCAGAAAAAAATGCACCAAAAACGTCACTTAACCACCAGGACTTAGAACTGACAATCAACTTAGAGAGCGCGCTACTCTATGTGCTAATCGTGTAGAAATAACTTATTGGTACAGAAAACTGTTTTTCTGCCGTAATTAGTGGCTACGCTTTTATGGCAAGCTAGCTGTAGGGAGCTAGCTGCGAGCTGTAGGGAGCTAGCTGCTAGCTGTAGAGAGCTAGCTGCTAGCTGCGAGTAGTAGGGAGCTAGCTGCGAGGTGTAGCAGTGAGAAAGGAAGAGGTGCAACGTTACTGCAGCTTTAAACCAACATCAGCAAGTCGTCTCAATGACCTGCTGAAGATAGTTGATGACATGTTAACAGCTGTGTGTGTGTGTGTGTGTGTGTGTGTGTGTGTGTGTGTGTGTGTGTGTGTGTGTAGCTGAGTGTGGCTCAGAAGCGTCTAGAAGGCTCCGCCTCCTCCAGCGACTCTCAGAGGGTTTGGTTTCAGACGCAGCAGGAACGCAAGCAGAGCCGCAGTGAGTGGAGGATTGTAGTACTCTGTAGTATTAAGTATAGTATTAAAAGTAGCATTATCTGTAGTACTGTGTAGTAATCTGCATGATGCAGAGTACCATGTCTCAGGTCTTCTTCTGCCCCTTCAGTGTCGAAGGCTCTGCAGGAGTTCGATTTGGCTCTGAGAGGAAAGAAGAAGAGAGAGAAGTTCCTGAAGGATGGGAAGAAGAAACAGCTGACGGTAAAATCAATCACTGATTGATCGGAGACCAACCTGAGCCTCTGAGCGTGCTCAGTGTGTCCTCTCTGTCCCAGTCTGAGGAGCGCGCTCAGTTCGAGATCCTGAAGGCTCAGATGTTCGCTGAGCGAGCCGCCAAGCGGGAGAGACGGGCGAAGAAAGCCAGAGCCATGCCTGAAGACGAACCGCCACTGAAAGGTCAGAAACACACACACTGAGACCCGACCAGAACCTCCAGAACCTTGAACCCAACTGATGCAGACTGACCAACTTCTGTCTGCAGCAACCAATCAGAAAGCAGCAAGCAGAGGCAGGAAGTCGGTGTTTGATGAGGAGCTGACCAACACCAGCAGGAAGTCCCTGAAAAACTACAGAGCTGGGTGAGACTGGTCATCTATTGATCATCTATTGATCATCTACTGGTCATCTACTGGTCATCTACTGGTCATCTATTGATCATATATTGATCATCTATTGATCATCTATTGATCATCTACTGGTCATCTACTGATCATCTATTGGTCATCTACTGATCATCTATTGGTCATCTATTGGTCATCTACTGGTCATCGCGCTAATTTTCATTTCGAACAACCACATGCTAGCAGCACGACGGAGAAATGTTTTCAAACTCATATGATGCAGCTTCTAAGTTGAGGAGCATCGATCTGGCAGTACAGGAGGGAAATAAAGCCGCTGCACGTAAACTCGGTGTGAACAAAACCGGATTTGGAGACGGAGAACTGTGTCCTTGATATATCCAGCAGTTATTAGGACGCAGCCCTCTGCTGCCCTCTGCTGGGTCCTTATGGGAAACCGAGAGAGGCAGAGATACCAGCGGCCTGTAGCCCGGTGCGGCTGATATATGTAAGTTTCCAGGGGAGGGGAGTCAAACATTTGAAGGTGCGGTGAATAGTGCGCTGATAGTCCGGGAAAGAC